TAATCATTTTAATCTTGTTTAGCATTCGTACTTTTTATTTTCCTAAAGGTTCAGTCTCATTGATTAGCATAACCATTAAAATGTTGATTTGCAGCTAACTGTAGCCTTTACACTAAATTTGGTACATCTTTGCCAACCTATAGGATGCACTGTATCTGTATATTTATTCAGATTAATTTCTACTTTTATGTTAAGAATTCATATTCTATCAATTAAAGTTTTTTGTGATTTGTGTCAAGCTGCATTTGGATGGAGATTGAAATTAAAAATCTTTTTGGGAATTTTTAATTTAAAATAATTCTGATCAGTTCAATAAAACTACTTTAAATGTGCTGAATACACAAGAAAAGAGTAGGTTTGTCAAAACATTTAAAATTGATTTATTAAACAAAGGAACTATTAACAACCGTGAATGGAACGGATTGTTTCATGTTACCGGGTCCTTCCAAGCTTTTATAACTAGTAGATCTCATCCTCTTCCACTTTGTTTTTATTCATAGATTGGAAGAGGAAAACAAGTTTTCCCTGCTTTTTCACCTCAGTTTAAACTTTAAATGAATCAATCAAAATGAAGAAAGTATTCTTTGCACCTGCAAAAGAGCCTACTACATGGAAAGCTGGTTTAGCACTTCAACAAACTCTGGGGCCAGGTGCTTAGCCAGTTGTGGTTTGACTTTAGAACATCAGCAGCAAACGTACCACTTGAATGGTTCACCTTCAGCCCTGTAAATTATGGTTGGCATGATAGATGAATGATTATTATACGCCCATATTATAGCAGCATCTTCCCCTTCAGCAGTTAGGCATCTACCGTGGTACTGTGTGTTGAGAATATTGGCAAGAAAATGAAATGTCCAAGAGCTTTGTCCATCTGCTTCTCCACTGCCTGAAATACACGCTTATTGTTGTGTATTTCAAGTTCATTCCAAATTTTAGCAGTATCAGCAATAGAACAGCTATCTTTAGTTTGATGTTGAATGGCTTCAGCTGTGATAGGTGGCCTACTAGTCATCAGGAATATAGATCAGTTTTTAGTAACTAGCTCCAGAGTCAGCCACTGAATTTCTTCCTATTTCTTGGGGGAGAATTAGGGTATGTCTATACTACTGGGACCATACCAGCAGAGCTATATTGGAATAGCTCCCTAGTGTAGCTGCAGCTTACACCGACAGAAGAAGTTTTTCTATTGGTGTGGGAATAACACCTCCCAGAACAATATTAGTGACATCAATGGAAGCCCTCTTCTGTCAGCACAGCTGCGTGTACGCTGGAGGTTACGTCAGCATAACTACACTAGTCAGGGGTGTGATTTCTTCGAACCTCTGACAGTCACATCTATACCCATATAACTTTCAAGTGTAGACTGAGCCTTAAATTTGACCTCCCTTCTCTCTTTAGTGAAACTGAAGCAAAGTGATTGTTAGGGAAGTATATTACAATTTCAATATTTTTCTTTATTCCGGGAGTATCTAAGTCTTTGGTTAACAAAGGCATCAACAGAGCACTGACTGCACTCATGTTAAAAGATTCAGGTTGATTTCATTCATCTTTTAGATTTCTCATATTAGTTTCAGTATTTTTTACTATAATTTATTTAAATAATTTGAATAAGTTTTGGCCTTAACATAGGCGGTCAATTTCAAGTTAAATTTTAGTTATGATTTATTTTTAAAAGGAAAAATGCATTTAAATTAAATCAAAACCTCTGATTTAAATAAAAATCCCATTTTGTATATATGTGTGTGTATATATATATATATATATAAAATAATCTATTTTTACCCACCCTGTCATTAGCCCTTAATTAAATTCTAGTTCCCACAATGAGCACAGATCAAGAATATTCATGGGATCAGTTATACTATTCAGTTCTTTGCACCACCTGGTGAATTTCAGTTGCAAGTGCAATCTGAATTACCATAGATCTTGGCTAGAGTGACTGGCTACACTCTCACCTCATTCTTAGAAGCTATCAACAGGAGACATCGTCCATTAAGGCCCATTCAGAGAAATTTTGGGCCCCTGTATATTATGTTTGCTATGGCCCCACTCCCTCCCATTTCACCCCAGTTACAGACATTTGGAGAGCCCCCGATCTCAAGGCCCCAGTACAATTTTCCCTACTTTCCTCCCCCTCGTCAGCTCTGCATCCATTACTATAACTTGTCCACAAAAGACAAAGCTATTAAACATGGCAACATGAGCCATCTATATTACACACTCCACCGCTGAAGAATGGTCACCAAATACATGAGCAGCCCTCAGGAAATCAGCAATCCTTAATCTGCCCTGGGGTTTAAGCAGGGAAACGTAGACAGACAAAGCCAGCCGAACAGAGCTAAATTTCAAATACTGGGAATTTGTAGAAGCCATGTTTCTCTCCAGCCAACCCCAAGAGATACAGGGCATGGAGCAGGAGCAAAGGGAGGCTTTTGCCTCTCCCCTCATAGCAGGAAAGATGCTGGAATCGGGAAGGAACAGGCACTACTGACTGGCCAGCACACTCATCCCTGCAGGAAAGAAGCCTTCTCCATTATTCTCACAGGGGGACAGGCGTGCGGGGGAATGAGAAGAGCCAGATAAGAGAAAACCTTAACAAGGCAGAAAAAAACATTCCTCACAAAAAGCACCAACAGCCCCAAACCTGTGTCCAAGTCTGACACCTTGACCCAATGACAAAAGTCCACTCAGCATATGCACAAAACAGGGACTTGCCTATATTCAAAATCCCCACATTCTTTATGTAGCTGCTAAAGCCTCCAGCTCACTCACCCAGTCTTCTAAATTATCAACTATGTATTGCCAGTGCTGAATCCCGTGTGCACTAATTGCAGCAGCATGAACTATATGATACCAAGTTCAACTGGGTATTGATTGTTGCTACGCATTTTAAATTCAATTAAATCCTAATGTCAGTGTTTTTCAAACCATTTCATTACACTACAGAATTCAGCAACACGGGAACCTACTACAGAATTGATGTGCTGATGGTCTCCCAGGACATGGGGCTTTGAAGCAAGGAAGTGAAAACATATTGCTAGAAATGGGAACCTGGAATTTTCCAAGTATGCTCCGTGTTGACCTCACTCTGCTCCCACTCAAATCAAAGGGAGGTTTACTATGGACCCACTGAAACGGTCTTGTAAAAAGTGTATTGAAGTGTAACAAAATCCACATCCAAGATGTTTGTTCACTTTCACAAACACCAAATACACTCACAGGAGTTTGAGCGGCATACTGCAGGCAGATGATGTGCAAGTGTCCTCATCCCCCTCAATCACAGTCTAGATCAGCCCTGATACTCCAGTCCTGGGCCTCTGCTTAGCAGACTGGATTTGTGTGCAACTACGTGGAGCTAAGAATAAGTTTTAATGTGCAAAAAATCTTATACTAATGGCTTTGAGCACAGAACTCTGCATTGGTGTGGTTATTTTGATTACAGCAGCACCCAAAGTGTGCTAGGCACGTTCCAAACGCAGGGTAGGACAGTTCTTGTCCAAAACAGCAAAGTACCTAACAAATTAGCTTCAGGAAATAAAGATCTAAACATGGTAGTGGCCAAACTCAAGAACTTGGATCTGTGTAAGAACATACTGGAGAAGCGTCTAAGGCTGCAAGACTAGAACTTAAAATACTCCTACCAATAAGGTTTATTGATTGAAGATTTCCTTCAAGTTACTTTATGTTTCAAGCCATCCCCCCAACATACCTGCTACCACCATATCTTTTGGCACAGAATGTTGCTCTTTCCTTCTGTTCTCTGAACTGCTAAATAGAATATTTAACTCCCGATGACTTGCATTTCATCCCTAGGTTTACTACAATGGGTGCATTTTCATTCTAACAGAATTCGATATAACTTGGAATAGATTTCTGTGTGACGAATTCTGATTACTCCAGCAACTGAAGCTTATATAAACCAATTGATCTGCCTTTCCAGAAAGGTAGCATTAATCAACAAGATTCCCACATAATCACACACCATTTGCAGTCAGACTCGGTACATACAGAGTGGTCAAGTCTCATATATAGTGGTAAGAAATGGCAGGGCCAAGATATTTCAAGTGATCACTTCTTGAACAAAACGCTGCACCATTACAAATCCATGGATTAAAGAGTAGAGGTTGGAGGGGAAGCAAGAGGATTCAGAGCTGTGAATTATAGGTCAGACAAGCCTGGGCTCAAACAAAGGAGATAAAGTGATCTCAGTTATAAGATACCTACAAAGGAATTCAATTATGCAAGTCAGTATACAGAACATCCTGCACTTATCTTAATAGTGACTTGATTAGCCTCTTTACTTATGTTCCAGTCTAATCAAATATTTACACCTAAGTAGATGTGTTTTTCACAGGTAAGATGGACAACAAAATTTTCAAAAGTATCTTAGTCACCTAGTCTAAGTCCCATTGGATTTTTGTTCCTTTTTTTAGTTCCTAAATTACTTCTGAAAAATGGGTCCAGGCACTTGTGAAAATTTTGCCTGCAATCTAATCAGTCTCAAAAATATACTATTTTGAAGGCAAACATGTCCCATCAATATGTTCAAATTACCTGAGCTGGGTTTTTGGTTAACTGAACGCTCCCATATAAATGGTAAATAAGGAAATGAAATAAGTTTCCGCCAAATCTCCATTTTGTAACCATACAATACAGCAGCACCTTGCAAAATTCTATTTGCTGCGGCAAGTAATTATGACAAGCAACTAAAGACTTTTTCCATTAACAATCATCAAAGCAAAGAGCTAGCAGGTAGATTTTATGCCTGGGCCGGTATTTTTGCAAGGCTAGCACAGCACATCAGGAACATCATTGTATTAAAGTCAGGGCTACTTCTGCCAGTGGGAAAGTCATTTTTAACAAAAAAACAAAAACAACAACAAAAAATCTTTTGCATAATCCAGCATTTTAGACATCAGTTTTAACATCTATGTTATTTGTTTACCCTGTTTGAGAAGAAAAGGTTTAACAAGTGTGTTCATATAACAATAGCCAACAACTCTTTAAATTTAGAAATTTATTTTGTTTAATCCACAAGCTTTATATAGCTTTAGTTAAAAAAACAGAAAAACAGTGAAAACATGACAATATCCAAAGTTCAGGTCCTTCGGGCTTTCAAAGACATCATCTCTGAAAGCTACGTATACCATTAAGAAGAACCGCAACCAGACAAGAATCATGAATGGGGCTACAACATCTTTTCACAAACAAAATTTATGTAAGTGTGGAACTTCTCTGGGACTGCTGATAAAGAAACTGTCCTTTTTAAAAAAAGAACAAAAATACAAATGAAATTCCAGTGTTCCAAATCATCTTATTACATCAATATAAACCCACAGTGTCCTGGCAAACGACATGCTTTCATTTACATACCGTTCTTGATTCACTTTAGTGGCAACTACACAGGTAACAATAGAGCAATTATGGCATTAAAATATCATATGTACTTCCCTTGCAACTGAAGTGGTTTCATTTCTGGGCAAGCTTATAAATCACAAAGGTTAGTAGCAATGTAAGTGGATAAAAAAACAAAACAAAATGAGAACTTTGTAAAAAATGGTATAGGTTTTGGTACATTTTAAAGAAACTGAGGTTGCCAGTCATTTTTAAAAACCTTGACCCATCTTACTGCTTCTAAAAAGTTTCACTCTACTGTCAATGAAAGAATGTCACTAGTACACTGTGGATGTTTTTTGTAATGTAAATCCATGCCTTTTTTACATGGTGAACCTCAACCTAGCAATTATTACAACAAATGTTATATTCTAAAGCTCAAACACATTTTAGCAATTTGAAATTGAATTCGGAGTACAAACCAAATAAAATGTACATTATATCAAAGGTTTCAGCCTAAGATGGTGGTGACACTTGTGCCTTCCTCATCGACCTCAGTGCCTTCTCTCGCAGATGTTTTTCTAAATCATCCAGGTTATCTTCTGCTTCGCTCCCTGTCTCCTTAAAACAAAGATACAGAAGTGATTATTTCTGCAGGCATGAAGAGCTAGACCAGGTAATAGCCATTCTGATACCACAATATGGCAAATGTAAAATCGTGGGATGCAAAGTTGCTACATTTCTGGAAGGGTAGAATACAGAAAGGCAAATATTTGATTAATGTGATATGCTAATGAGACATGTGGGAGAAAACAGGCATGAGGGTGTAGTAAAAGGGTGGTCCCTATAAAAAAAGGTGGTTTACGATGGGTAGGCCAGGAGTGTCCCCAGCTTCACATTCTTCTTGCTGAAGTAATGGCGACTAGGAACAAAGTTTTAAAGGAAGGGTGGAGAAGAGAACAGGTGACCATCGGTTCTAAGGGGGATCTCCTTAGAATGTTAGGTTCCACTGGAGGTTGGGGGTCAGACAGGAGGATGCAAATTGTACAGACCTTTGAGGAATCTGGCTGTGACAAGTGGGCAAAAACCGAGAACCCCTGCATGGGTAAGTGGAAAGCTGTGATAGTAGCCAAATGTACCCTAAGAGCTCACTGACAGACCTCTCGCTTTTAATTTTAGTATCTAGCCCACTATCTTGAGAAGGGGAACTTCCAAGGCTTGGGAAGATGGAAAAAAAGCACCAAGAGTGAAAGTATTTCCACTTCTGGAGATAAGTCTTGTGGGTAACCGGGCTTTCAGCTGGACAAAAGAACTGACTAAACTGCATCTAAACAGGTCAATTCCACGGTTGAGAGCCATTCAGCCGCTACGCCGAGGTTCAGAGAGGAAGGGTTGGGGTGGATGAGGGATCCCAAGTTCTATCTCAATAGGTCCTCAGTGGTAGGAAGTCACAGGGGTGCCCCTCAGAGGTGGATGAGGTTTGAGTACCGCACCTGCCTTGGCCAGGCTGGTGCTATAAGAATAGCTCTCATTCTTTCCATATGTAGCTTGAGAAGAGTTGTGAGGATTAATGGTACCTGTGGGTAAAGCATACAGTAGGGCATGAGGCCAAGGAGATCTCAGTGCATCTCCCATAGAACTGAGGCCATAAACTCCCCTTGAGCAAAACAGGTGACATTTGGAGTTGGTCAGGGTGCTGAAGAGATTTACTTGTGGTAGACCCCAGGTTTGCAAAAGAGTTTGAGCTCCCATTTGCCATCTTGCCAGAAAGCGTCTGCTCAGGAAGTCTGTAGTTGTAACAGATGCTTTTCTGTTAGGATGGGGAGCTCACTTGCAGGGAAATACAGCTCAGGACAAATGGTCTCTGCAAAAGCTGATGCTTCAGATCAACATACTGGAACTGACCGCAGTTTGATACACATGCCGGTATTTCCTCCATGACAGACCAACCACTGATGTGGCTTTTCGATGGGAAATACTCTGTGCACAAGGACTAGGCTATTGCTCTGCCCTGTTGTCTAGGATTACCCTGACTGAGTGGCCTTGTATGTCATGGTCATATGTGAGCCTAACCGCAGCACCGAGATTAGGCCAGACAAGGTGTGAAATCTCTCAATGGGAAGGTAGGCTTTTGCTACTGTAGAGTCCAAAACAGCTCCTGTGAAGTTTATCTTAGCAATTGGAACAAGCTTAATGCCTTTGTTGTAGCTGTGTGGACCTCGGTATGATTCACCCAGATCAACATGTTGTCCAAATCTGGGGATACGGAGATCTCCCATGGATGGACGGAAGCTGCCACTACCGAAAGGACCTTTCCCAACACCCTTGGAGATATAGAGAGTTTGAAGGGAAGAACTCAGTATTGATAGTGGTCTGTTCCTATTACAAAGCACAGGAAATGCTTGTGCGATGAGTGGATGGCTATATGAAAGTAGGTGCCTTGTTGGTCAAGGGTAACAAACCAGTCTTCTGGATCAAAGGGTGGGAGAATTGGAACCAATGTCACCATTCTGAAGTGTTGTGCTAAAAAAAATAGTAGTTCAAGTTCCTGAGGTTGACAATCAGTCTCCACCCTCCATCTCCCTTGGAAACCAAGTAGCTGGAATAGAATCCTTTCCCAATGAACTCTGTTGGAACCCGCTGTAGTGCCCCAGAAGGAGGGGGGACAGAACCTTTTGCCTTAAGAGCTTTTTGTGTGAGGAGTCCCTGAAGAGGGATGGGGAGGCATAGAGTGGAAGTGGACAGAGTAATCCACTCTAAGGACTTCCAGTATCCACTTGTCTGAGATAAGGAGTTCCCATGCAGGTAAATTGTGGGACAGTCAATCTTAATAATAAAAAAAAAAGCGGGGGGGGGGGGGGGGAGGAAGAGGGAGAGAATTGCACAATGGGGAAATCCAGTGAACTGGGATGATTTATGCCCTCGGTCAAGGTGTCAAAAGTGCTTTTTAGAAGGAGGGAGCCAATTAAGAAGAAGGGGTCAGTAGTCTCTCTCAGCTTGCTCCTTCTCCTGAAGGCCTACTCAGATATAGGGAGGGTGGACTGCTGATGGTACTGGAATGGCCTAGATCTCTGGGCAGGCTGTGTAAACTAAGTTGTCTTTTTATTGCAGGCACGTAGAGAATCCCAGTGAATGCAGCGTAGCCCTGGAATCCTTGAGAGCGTGGAGAGAGGAGTCCATATGATCACTGAAGAGCTTGAGTCCTTCAAAGGGGAGATCCTTGACTGTGGACTGCACTTCTCTTGGAAGACCTAAGGGCTGGAGCCAGGATACCCTTCTCATGATCACTGCCATGGATCTTAACACTGTGTCAGCAGCATCTAGGGCAGCTTGGAGGGAGGTTTTTGTGACCAACTGCCCCCCTGCAATGATGGACTGAAACTGGTCTCTCTGATCTTGTGGCACATATTCAGTTAAGTGTGTAAATATTGAATACATGGCAAATGCGTCTTTCACCATCAAGGCCTGATAATTTGCAACAGAAAACTGAAGAGCAGCTGATGAACAGCTCTTCTGCCCAGTAAATCCAGACTCTTGGATTCCCTGTCTATTGGAGAGGGTCTAAACTGAGCTTGTGGCACCTTCCACTGGCTGCATAAACCACTATGGAGTTACGGATTGGGGGAGGAGGGGAAGTGTTCCATCCCCTTTGATGGGATGTAGTACTTGGTGTTAGATCTCTTACAGGTGGGTGGAATTGTGGTTGGCATTTGACACAGTGTACATGTAGGGGACAGTAATGACTCACTAATGAGTAAAGCAACCTTCCCTTGGGGACACCATCTCAAACCACAGGCAGTTGAGAAGGAACTCAGTGGTGGTGGGTTCGCACCTGCCTATATCCCCTAGTTCAGAGCAGGTGGTGTTGTTCTGCGCAGGACCGTGAGCACTGCTTTGCAATCTCCAATCAAGAGCGCGCAGGCACATGCACATCCTATAGTGGAGTACCAATAGGTACATATACTTGAAGAACTAGAGATGATCATTCAGAAATGTCAAAAGCAGAGGTTTTATACATTAGAAATTTTACCTAGGTTATATACACTTTTCACTTGGGTACCATTTCTACTATAACTTCATACAAATATAGCACAGAATGTCTCTAGTTTTCTGCCTGCAACTAACAAGCAGTCACATCATACAGAAGGCTGAAATACAACAAAATAGATTTTTAGCAAAAATACAATTTCATTTGCCCCATGAGATTTGCTATTTGGTATGGATTTTTTAAAGGGACATTCAAACGTGAGTTTGTATATTTACAATATGATTTTAACATGTCAGGTTGCTGAAACAAAAAATTATAAATACCCACTACTTATGCCATTTGTGTACTTTCCATTTCTCTCTCAATGTGGACAAGTCAATCCTGCATTCAGGATCTCAGTACTTCAAAACCTGAGTTGCAAACTTGGCATGAAACATTTATAATTGTAGTGAATACTGTTGTAAAAGCATTAATGGAAAAATCTCTATGGGTCTGTAGATTTTTAGTTCTTTGTATATTTCACTTTAAAAAAATATGATCAATTTAATAGTTACATTTAAAATAAAATGAAAGCTTGATGTTAACTTGCCATGGATGTATTTCACTGTACAAAGTGGACTTTTTTTTTTTTTTTTTTACTGTTGCTCAAAAGTGTTACCTATTTACCACTTTGTAGAAATGGAAAGGCAATGTAGACAATGCTCATTAATAGCCTTTCAGAAGCAGAAAATGGAACTGATTCTTGGGAGGGGGATGATGGAAAGGAAGAGAAATGGAGGTAGCTAACCTCTAACTGGAGTTATTCCAGTGGCCTCTGCCACCCCAAGAAGGGAATATGCAGAGGCGACTTGAACTAAATTTTATAATTTACCCAGTTGTAGCATAATTCAAGCCCTGCCTTCAAATATATTGGAGTTAAAAGAGATATTTTCAAAATCATACATTAGTATCAATTACGCTTGCAAATATGTTCTTTCATTTCACTCTTTGGCTTTTGAAATCAGATTTATTTAGCCAACCTTTTTGGGCTCTGTCTCTGCTTCTGGGTCTTCCTGGGCTGATGAAGTAGCAGCTGAAGTAGCAGCAGCAGCTGCTGCAGCAGCTGCAGCCTTCTCTTTCTTATGCTTTTTGTGTTTCTTGTGCTTTTTGTCCTTTTTATGCTTCTTATCCTTCTTCTTCTTCTTTTTCTTCCCACCACCTTCCTGGTCAGAATTCTGTAATGAAAAAAAATTCCTCATTTCACAGTTGGAGATATGTATGCCAGATTTGTGTATAGGGTGATGATGCACAAATAAACCCTCTCTCCTTACAAAGATCACGTGGCCTAGACGTTAAGCACATTTGCTGAATAACCCGTGTGTGTGTGTGTGTTTGCCTATGGAGCGGCTATTGCCATCCCATCATTTAAAAGGAATTGCACTTAAATACACTAGTAAATGAGCTAGAATTGTTTGATCATCATAAGCAAAACTAGGTAAGAGCAATATGCCACATGATGAAAGTTCTGTAGGTATATTCCAATTAAGTACTACTGATTAGAAAACATACCCTTGCAGGGGATGGACTCTGCGTAGGACTTTGAGCCTTTTTCACATGTGGCGGCGACCAGTTAGTGGAGGGGGATCGAGACCCAGTAGGGGATGGAGGTGCTTGGTGTTTCTTAGGTGCTGGCTCAGGCGATCCTGATGCAGACCTGGACGAAGACACCCTTCTCACAGACTGTGGACTTGGTGTGGAAGCCCTTAAAAATAAAAGATTAACATTTAGGACTCCTTGTGCCTTATATAGTACGTGCAAACAAGGTAACTTAATTATTATGTAACTAACCATGGTGTCACAGTGTAGGTCTACACTGCAATTAGACACCAGTGTCTGGCCTGTACCAGCTGACTCTGGCTAAGGGGCTGTTTAATTGAGGTATAGATGTCTAGGCTCAGAGTCCCAGAGCCTGGACTCCAGCCCAAATGTCTACATTGCAACTAAACAGCCCCTTAGCCTGAGTCAGCCGAGACAGGCCAGCCACTGGTGTTTAACTGCAGTGCAGATGTACCCTTAGAGTTACTACTGATCTACAAATCTGTTCATATTAATCCCTTTACTATGGAGCTAAATTCTATACATTTAGACTGGAATTTCTTCAAAAGAATGACAGTAAAAGGAAAAGCCAAGATCTAACTAAGCACTGCAGATTGGCAAGCCAAAAAGATACTGTAGGTTTACTACATATTAGTATCTTGGACAGACAATAGTGTTCTCCTGTTCATGAGTGGCTGTCTTCTCTTCACACCTGATAAAAATTCAACATGGCACAGCTACTCTTTTATCACCAGTTCAGACAGGATATTGCATTCAGCTACCTACCTTTCCTGAAAGAACGGATTAAGCCAGCATTGCCATACTTTCACTAGATGTTTAGGTAGATATCTCCCAATAGTAAAAGCTTATCAAATATTCATTTAATAAGAATGTGTCTTGGGTTAGCCCTGTTCCATAGTGAACTTTGACGCAGAGTTCACTAGGCTCTAAACAAAGCTACAAATCCCTTTGAAGTCTTATTTTGTAATCTGCTCTGGTTTCACAACTATCAGTGTTTGATGTTTGCCTCTATTCTGCCTTCTCACTATCACACTTTGTCCAAGATGAACCTTTGTAGTGCCTCTGAAGCTATTCCCAATCTTGAATTTTCATATGACAGGAATGCCTCTAACAGTCATTTCTGAAAAGCCATGTTATAGAAGTTGGCAGAATGAAAGCAGCATGTCAACAGGCCCACAGGAACTAGAGTGGCATGAAGGCAGAATACTGACACCCTTTAATTTTAGAGCAAAGCCTTGCTTTATCTATTCCCATTTGCCTATAGCTATAAGTTAATAAGTCCCTTACTTTGTCTTTTTGGGTTCCGGGGTCCTTGACACTCTCCTGATGGGTCTACTGCTTGGAGATGGAGACTGTCTCCGTTTGGGTGAAGATGAAGTCCCCCTTCGCAGAGGCGGTGGACTTGCAGAAGTATGTGAAGCTCTAGGCCGTGGAGATGGTGAATGCCGTTTGTTTTGTAGTGGAGATCGGGTTTCACGATTAGACCTGCTGGAAGGAGAACTTTTCCTATGCTTGGAAGATATCGATGGGGAACGCCTCTTTGCCACCGGAGAACTTCTTTGTT